CATTCCCATCTTAATTGCCACAAAATCCTGTGTTTTATCCTGTGAATACTCCTCACTCCCCCTCTGCCTCCATGCTTTCCTGTCTCTTGAATGTGCTCCTGCTATTACTTAATACTACTTGGGTTCCATATCTGTGTATTCAAATTATTTCTCTCTTCCAAGAATCCCCCACTCCCAAGACTTACGATGCCCCAGTGTCTAAATATTCACTTCATGCTGGTATATCTGTCATACATCTCTCATGCAATTCATTAATTGCATGCTATTTCTTACCATCCCTGCTATATTAGAAGTCTTGGATCAGGAACATTCTCCCTAGTCTGATTGTACAAGTCATATAATCTCACTGAATCTGAGATGCCTCATCTTTAAAAAATGAAGTTCAAAGGAAGTGATTTCTCAGGTTCTCTCCAAGTCTGTAATGTATGCATGCATCCACTGGCCACAGACATTACCTACTGAGCCACGAATCAGTTTATTTTCAACCCAAACTTAGCAAATCTGTAAAAGGGCTAAAGCTGAAATTTAAAATGATTGACCTAAAATGATGCAAGCATATCAAAATATTGTCTTCATCAAAACTGAGCTAAGCTAGTATTTCATTAAATTGGGTTTCGGTTTCAAAACTCAGACAAATATTTCCCTGGGCCGAACAGAGTATCCTTCCTGGAGTGCGGCAGGTTTTACTGGATATTTCTTTCTTAAATAGGAAACTGGAACTAAGAGTTCAGGAACAAAGTTGTCCCATGATCTTAAAGTGTCTTCACCGTCATCACAGATGGGCAGCCACTGCTGTGAGCGTACAGATTCGGCATAGGCAGGATTGCAGTCAGTGTAAAACAAGAAGTTCAAAACAAAGGGAGATTTCCAAGCGACAGTGGAAGGGTACCAACCACCTTCTGCAAAACCACAGAGCCCACTGGGGTCGCGGGCACAGCCTCTGACAAGCCACATCTTTGTTCTCCAGTGCTGGGGTGTATGATTTGCTCCTTCCTGAAAGTCTTCGACTTGGTAGCACATGTCTTCTGAATGTCATTATTCCCAGGACCTGAATTTTATAAGAGTTTCCTGGGCAACCTGCCAGGAGAGGGAGGAAAATCCCCATTAGCACTATCCCGTGGTTGCTTAGAAGGCTTGGAGATGACATCATCAGCCAAGGCACAGAGCTGAGGAGGTGAGGCACCTGGCTTTAGAGTGGCAGAGGGATTTGGGCAGAGGAGAGAGAAAACAAAAATTATATGTACACTCTACGTAGTGGAAGGAAATATATGTATGCATATACACTTACATGATGTATTTGGTTATGTATATTAATGATGTATGTGCATATACTAAAATAGACTGTGTACATATTTGAAATAGTAATATACAATGAACTGAAATATATAATGAAATGAGTGTTTCATATGTCATAAAATATATAATAGTTATATAATATATGGTATAAATATATACATATAAAATCTATTCCCACACATATTTAGGGGAAGGGAGTTTAGAAACAAGGCTTAGAGAGGCATCTAAAGAGATCTTCCTGAGTACTAATTTTCTTATCTAGAAAATGGATTGTTTAAAGAATCAAGTGAAAAAGAAAGAATCAAGAAAATCAATAAACATTTTCTCAAATGTTTATAAAAAGCACTTTGTAAACATTATCTTTCAACAGAAATAAAAGGCATTATAATTAACTATAAAATAGTTGGTTTATCAATGTTAGATATACCTCAGCCTCAATCACAATCCTGAGGACATTTAAATGTTGGAAGTTGGATTATCCCATCAGGTTTTCCTATAAAAGACTATATGAAAGTGAAAGAAAGTGAAAGTCACTCAGTTGTGTCCAACTCTTTGTGACCCCATGGACTTATATAGTCCATGAAATTTTTCAAGCCAGAATACTAGAGTGGGTAGCCTTTCACTTCTCCAGGGGATCTTCCCAACCCAGAGATCCAACCCATCTCCCACATCACAGGCAGATTCTTTACCAGCTGAGCCACAAGGGAAGCCCAACAATACTGGAGTGGGGAGCCTACCCCTTCTCCAGCAGATCTTCACGACCCAGGAATTGAACCAGGGTCTCCTGCATTGCAGGTGGATCCTTTACCAACTGAGCTATCAGGGAAGCCCTGATATATAGGGACCATGTACACTCTATATAATCATTCATTCATTCAACAGGTACTTAGTGAGAACCAGCTCTGAACCAGGTATGAGGGATACAGCATTGAACAGTGTGAATCCTTTTTCTCAGGAACTTATATTCCATGAGGAGAGCAAACACATAAATAAATGTGAATAAAAGTGAATAAATAAGTATGTAATTCCTCAAAGTGATAATGAATGCTGAAAATAAGTGGGAGTCAGGCAGGGAGTACTAGTTCATTCAGGATGACTCACAAAGAGTTGTCCTATAAAAGGACATTTGCTCTGAGACCTAGGAAAGTGGGGATGACCCAGGGCGTTATCTAGGGATGCCCTGTCCAGTGCACACATGCTGAGGCAGGGAGGCACCTGAGCCATCTGGGAACTAGCAAGGAGGCCAGCAGGGTTGAAGAGGGGGAAGACATAAGGTCCAAGGAGTGCAGGTCCTTGGAGGCCCCCTTTAGACATTAGCTTTTACACTTGTAGTGAGATGGCCTTGAGCATGACAGGAGTACTGTTCCAGAATGTGTCTGGCAGCTGTGATCATAGCAGGTAAAAGCAGGACAAACTGGTTGAGGGGATAGAGGATAATCCTGATGACACAGTTGTTCTTCCTGGACCAGAGAGGGTGGAATTGAATCCCTACAGGGTCACCTTGTTAGACTAATTACTGCATATATTTCCCATGGTTTTCAAAGTATATCCATATCCATTACCTGGTTACATCCTCATTATATGCCCAGAGTTGTAGGCATACCAGCGACTCACTCCCATTTCAGAAGAGTGTCTTGAGACTCAGAAAACTTAAGCCTCCTGCCTCAGACCATAAAAAGTAGACCTGAGCTCTTTTGTGATTCTCAAGCCAGTGTTCTTTCTGTCAAAGCTGGGTCATGATCCAGCCTTCCATCTCCGATTTCACTTTTTTGGAGTAGAGAGCTACCAGACCACTGCAGGGTAAGAACTAACCTTTCCTGAGCTTCCTGATCTTTCCAGAACCAGGATGGGATATTTACACACATGGTCTCATGTCTTCTTTATGGTCACCTTACAGGGAAGAAGAGCACCCTTATTTTAAAGCAAAGGCTATACTTAGAAGGACCGATTTGCCCAGCTGTCAGGCCAACCAGTGATGGATCTAGCATTGGAACCCTTATCTTTCTTATTCTAAAACCCCAAAGACTCTTAAGCCCAGAGTAGTTAAATGATAAAATGAACACAGAAAGCCCATTCTTGCGTTCCTTCTCCTGAGGGGCCAGGAAGGGAAGGGGGAAACATGGAGACCCCAATCCAGAGAAAGGTAGGAATCTATTCAGGAGCCCCCCACCATTCCCCATTCCCCGAGGTCGTTCTGAGTGTGTGTTCTGTCTCTCCATGTAGGATGCTCCAAGGTGACCTGCATCAGCTTGACCCGGGAGGCCTCCATTAAGCTGTCCCCCTTGCACGGCAAACAGATCTCCATCCGCTACCTGGACATGACGGACTGCTTCGTGCTGGAAGATGAAGGCCTGCACACCATCGCGGCCCACTGCACGCAGCTGACCCACCTGTACCTGCGTCGCTGCGTTCGCCTCACCGACGAGGGCCTCCGCTACCTGATGATCTACTGCGCCTCCATCAAGGAGCTGAGCGTCAGCGACTGCCGCTTCGTCAGCGACTTCGGCCTGCGCGAGATCGCCAAGCTGGAGTCCCGCCTGCGGTACCTCAGCATCGCGCACTGCGGCCGGGTCACCGACGTGGGCATCCGCTACGTGGCCAAGTACTGCGGCAAGCTGCGCTACCTCAACGCCAGGGGCTGCGAGGGCATCACGGACCACGGCCTGGAGTACCTCGCCAAGAACTGTGCCAAACTCAAGTCCCTGGACATCGGCAAATGCCCTCTGGTCTCCGACACGGGCCTGGAGTGCCTGGCTCTGAACTGCTTCAATCTCAAGCGCCTCAGCCTCAAGTCTTGCGAGAGCATCACGGGCCAGGGTCTGCAGATCGTGGCGGCCAACTGCTTCGACCTGCAGATGCTGAACGTGCAGGACTGCGAAGTGTCCGTGGAGGCGCTGCGCTTCGTGAAACGCCACTGCAAGCGCTGCGTCATCGAGCACACCAACCCTGCCTTCTTCTGAAGGGACAGCCTCCCGCCGTCGCTGTCGCCGTACAGACCTGAACAGAACACGTTGGTTTTTTTGTTTTGTTTTTTTCAGAGCAGCCTATGTAAGCACCGACACCCACTCGGAACAGCTTCTTTCTTCCAGGAAGGTTCTTCTTAGGGATCTGGCTTTTCTTCTTTCTAATTTCTCACGGGCAACAGAGGGCTAGGAAAAGAGGGTGAGGGAGCCCCATTTCAATTCCAGAGAACGGTTTTCTGCAGGGGGAATCAGGTCATTGGTGGTGATGTCTCTTCTCAAATACATGTACCTCAGAAAGCTGACTGCAGTGTCTTTAGAAACGCCCCCTTTTCTCTCTGCTTCTTTCCTCCAGGCCACATCCCCAGAGCTCTGCACCTCATCCCTCCTACCCTACCCCTCCCTCTCCTTCAGTAACAACAAATCATCAGAATAATACTGCTGTCCACACCTCCTCCTGTTTATACTGCTTGACTGGCCTAAACCACACTCTCCGATCTGATACCCAAGCAAAATTCTTGTTAAATCAATGTCCCAGCACCTACTATATACACAGCACTTCTAAACCCTTTTAAAGAATCACTTGTGGCAGTCAGCAGGGTGAAGGAAGAGACCTACCTTGCTCTTCCCATCCCACCCCCGCTCGGCCGCTTACTAGCTGTGTGACCTTGGGGAAAACACTTGACCTCTCTGGGCTTCAGCTTCCAGCCCTGAATCAGAGGACTTCCTCTGATCTAATCAAGGATGAGCTTCATGCCCACTTTAGAATCAAGGGAACAAGAGATGTCAGTAAACCCAAGCTCCTTGGCAGCACAAGAGGCATCTACCTCTTCCAAGGGCATCTATTCTGTGAGTGCTTTCAGGAGGCGCGCCAACCCCAGCCTCCTGTATGTTCTTATCCCTAATCTGAGTGTCATTCACAGCTTGTTTCTTTTGATGAGCGAGTCTCTTGGTCATCTTCTCTTGCCTAGCCAGATGGACGGCTTCTGTATACACATGCTTTGGGCATCACCTCACTCTACCCCATCGAATGGAGGTGATGGAATTCCTAATCACAGCAAAACCCACCTCCCCCAGTCAGGTTGACCTTTCTGAGTGTTTCCAAGTAGGAAGGAGGACACTCACAATTTTTAATTAACAAGGGAGGCCCAGGAGAACACATGTCCTCCAGGGTCTTTTGAATCCCTGTCACTGCACACGTGGCATGCATGTACACATCTGCCCTGCAACGGGCAGGAACGGACGCCTCGGTTCTTTGTCATTCAGATCGCATTTCTGTTTTCCCATCTATTTATTTTCTTGGACATCAGACTGCACCACGTGAAGCCTGTTGGGGTTAAGTCATAAGTGTTTAAGTGCAGATTGCCACCTTGTGTGCCTCCCCGCTGACTGATTGTCCTCCCCCAAATAGGCAGAGGAGATTTCCAGGTAGTTTAAATCCTGTCCACTCAAAAGTGCCACACAAATGGAAGAGGGAACACATTGATAAGACGTAGGCGCTGGTCCACCAGCTAAGATTTTGATATCCAACATTAAAGCTGTTGCCAAGTATACACGTTAAATGGTCCTGTTTGGATGGAAATCCATTTGCTATCCTCATTCATGCGAAGTGAGGATGCTAACAATCCCATTGCTTGTTTTCAATGTCATTTCATCGATTTTTGTTAATAAGCCCATGACCTCTCTTAAATTATTCTCTGGCAACACCCCTTCTCCTTCGCTTTCCAAACAGTTCATTCATTTCTTTCTCAGAGGACCCACCCTCCACACCCAGAACCTGGTGTCTCCAAGCCAAGCACACGGAACAGTTTCATATCCAGCCTATACACCGCTTGATAGCTGCACTCCCACTTTAGGCTCCATGCATGTCTTTGTCTTACTTTGCGAAGGAGATAGCGTGAGATGGCATCACATGAAATATGGCCACCTCTCCAGTCAACACCATCAGCAACTTGGAGGTGCAGTCAGTGCCATGTGCCACCGGGGGAAGGGAATTGTTTGGCTGGGGAGAGTATCTAGTCACAAAGTTTAGAACCGTGAAAGGGATTGAAGCATTCCCCCGCTGTGTGACTTGTGACACTGTTCAAAGCTTCAGAATATGAGTCACAAAGGATCGTCCCTAACCCTTGGTACTGGGATCTTCCAAGTGAGCCAATGTGATACTCCCAGAATATGAGGAAAGATCCAAAATGGCTCACACAACCAGAGAGGGGGTGTCCCATTCCAAATATCTTTATCACCACCTCTTGACCATAGCACTACACTGTCTTCCAAACGTGAGACAAACCCAGCCTTCACACTGATTACCTGGCATGCCCTATCTTTCCCAGTTTCTGTCTTTCTCCCAGTAGCTCTTCACCATTCCACTTCCCCTTGTCGTATGAATCTATGACAGTGGTTCCTGGGGAAACAGCTCAGCAGATTTTTAGAGACCATGCAAAAAGCCTCACTAGGAAATTTACCTGTTTTTAAACATTGCTTCCTTCCTGTCTCTGCTAAATTGAATGCTCATTGTTTTTTTTTTTTTTTTAATTCTAATGTTGAAATCACTGCGTGCTGTATGACTCTAGAAAGCCTTAACTTACTACCACCAAGAAATAAAGCAATATGTTGGTAATCAGGTTCAGCCTCATTTAATTCCCTGGCTAGAGTAGCCTGATGTTCAGATGGGGAAACTCAAGAGTGAGGGAGAAACTTGCCTCCTGTCGAAATAGAGAGCAGGTCAGGTCACTGCTGCTGCTGTCCAAGTTGCACCCATGGCTGTGTTACTCCCCTTAGCTCATTGTCTTTGGCTAAAAATTAGCAGGTAAGTAAAAATCATTACATTCACAGTTTATGTCTTCAGTTCCCACCCCACGTTTTGATGGTATAGCAAAAAACAACAACAACAACAACAAAAAACCTGGAAGGGGAATATGGCAACTTGATTGAAAAAGAAAAATTATCAATTGGTTGAAAAAAAGGAAATGCCAAATATCTCCCTACCCAAACCTTTAGATCAGAGAAATTAGTATGGCAGAAAGCAAGTACTGAGAGATGAATGGCAAACTCCATCTTCAGCAAGTAAAAACGTTTTAGGAGATGCCAATTTTAAAAGTAGTCGTCCTCAACTTCCTTCTTTCTTACCCTGATTCAGCTGCATAATGGCTATCACATAAACCAACAGGACTGTTAACTGCTTTGAAATATTAACTCAAGGTAGCCGCATGCAATTCTTGTCAAGATCCCAGAATAAAGTTTGCAGTAAATAAAATGCATATGCCCTGGAGGTCCATGATTTCTTATATTGATATTTGTTGAGAATTAAAGCCTTTGAGACATTTGACATCCAAGAGCCCACAACATGAAACCAAACAGTTTAATATTTTTAAGGGAAAAAACTTTTTTGCAGTAAAGTTGCCTACCATGTCTAAATTTTCACAGAAAAGTCATCAGAAAGTAGTGTTTTTGTTCAATAGCTGGCAATCATGATTAGTTCAGGAAGAAGTTAATTTGCAGAAATGCTGAATAGACAGTAGAAGAGGGAGCAGCAATATTTAGTGATGAGGTAAATACTGCATGAATATGTTCACACAGACAGTCTGTGAAACAAAACTGGTTTTCCTCTTTGTATGCTCAAATGGTTTCTTCTTTTTGCTTCATACACCAGCATGGTAAGTCGCGTCAGTTGTGTCCAACTCCGAGACCCCATGAACTGTAGCCGGCCAGGCTCCTCTGTCCATGGGATTCTCCAGGCAAGAATACTGGAGTGGGTTGCCATTTTCTTCTCCAGGGGATCTTCCTGACCCAGGGATCAAACCCATGTCTTGTCTCCTGCATTGGCAGGTGGGTTCTTTACCACTGAGCCACCTGGGAAGCCCCTAATACACCAGTAGTGGCTCTTTATGTTGCAGGAAGGAGTGATTCATGGAGAGGAGAGCTCCTGTTGCTGTCTCTCTGCTGGGGATGCTGATACCACCATAGAGACCTGCCTAAACACAGCTCTCGTTGACCAGAAAGCAGCTCAGACACATTCCATAAAGATGACCACCAGCTGGGCAAAGTTGTTCACTGGAGGCAAGAAAATATTGGGTTGACTAAAAAGTTCTTTTGGGCTTTTCTGTAAGATGGTACAAAAAACCAGACGAACTTTTTTGGTCAACCCAGTACTTCCAGACACTCAGACTGGGGACACATCAACCAAGACTGCATCCAGGATGTGATGATTCCTCCTTTCCTTGAGTGCAACATTATCTCCTAAAGCCACAGGTCCATTTTTGTAGTCTTTTTTTTTTTTTTCCTTCTCAAGTCAGCAGATCAACTTGCATTTGAAACTACATGAGATGAAAGAGCATGGTCTTTTGGGAGCTGAATAGGTTTCACCATCCCTGCCTGTCAACAGCACAGAGGTGGCATCTTTAGCAGGATGCAGCTAGAATGCTGATCTCATGGACCATCCAGGAAGGCTACGTGAAAGCTCTAAACTGTTGCTGAGGCTGCTGCTGCTGCTAAGTCGTTTCAGTCATGTCCGACTCTGTGCGACCCCATAGACGGCAGCCCACCAGTCTCCCCCATCCCTAGGATTCTCCAGGCAGGAACCCTGGAGTGGGTTGCCATTTCCTTCTCCAATGCATGAAAGTGAAAAGTGAAAGTGAAGTAGCTCAGTCGTGTCCCACTCTTAGCGACCTCATAGACTGCAGCCTACTGGCTCCTCTGTCCATGGGATTTTCCAGGCAAGAGTACTGGAGTTCAGGAGATAGCAACCAACATCATCCACGTATCAAAGTAAGGCTTGGAAATATTATTAAAAAATAAAATAAAACTTGATCTAAAGATTTCCAAATCTTCTCATTTCTATGTTGTCGAATGTCTCTCCATCTGGCCACTCAGCTACTGAATTTTATACTGATGAGATCAGCATGTCTGAATTCTATCCTGGCTCGTGTGATGATCAACATATGAGGGAAACTGGATGTTGCAGTCTTTCTTCATGAGCAGTGAGTCCCCAGGGAGTGCCAGTGATTTCTTCTGAAGGAGCAGATGGCGTTCAGTCTCCTTCAACTCCTTTAATGAAGGTTTATTGATCAGGTACTATGAGAGGTTCTGGGTGAATAAGAAACAAGATCTTTCCCCTAAAGGAACTCCTATCAAATAATGTCATGCAATGAGTTAGAAGGTGGAAATGGGAATAGAAAAAGGAGATATGCTTTCATTCGTTCAACAAATAAAAATTTTTTTAAGAACCTAGTATGTGTCAGACACCATGCTGGCACTGAGAGTCTTGCCCTGATGGTTGAAAAAAAGAAATGATTTGCCTTCAGTTAGTCATATGGAAATAGAAAGTTCTGTTTTGTCCTAAGGTCATCCCATAGATTAATTCTTATATACACATACACACTATCTCTCACACACCCACATACATACATATAATCTCTGAAAATGGGAATATTTTGCAAAAACAATACTGAAACATAAATTCTTGGAAAAACTCTAAAAGCCTCAAAACAGCTGATGCTCTTCCAAACAACATACAGTCCAAACATACAGACATAGCCCAGAGAACTGCCATCCTGATTTCCCCAGAATCTAGCTCAAGGAGGGGACGATTGCAGATCACTCTCTCAAGAAAGCTTGGATTCTTCAGCCAACATCATGCTCTTTGGTTTCATACTAATCATTATGCACTTTTGATGGGAATGGGCAGAGTAAGTGAGGTTTCTCAGTGTACTATGTTTCTTTATTAAGAACTAGTCTGTGTCTGTTATCTCAGCTATACTGGATGACCCAAGTAAGATTGATTAAGTAGCCATTAAAATTGCCAAGGAATGGATTTCACTGGTAAATTTCCCGAGGATGGGTTCTTTGAAGCTTCACATTTTATCAGGGTTGTCAATGTGAAATTATCTGCCCACAGTAATAATCAACTAAACAGTGAAATGCATTAGAAAGTGGAAGTGTGATAGGGAAGCTTTTAATTCCTGTTTCTCTGCAGTCAGAGGCAAAATCCTCCTGGTTTTTCAGAGCCCCAAAGCTCTTCCAAGTCTGAGTAGTGGTAGACTTATTAAGCCCATTGTCAGATAGGCACGCAAAAGATAGAGGGGAGAGGA